TTTGAAAATTTTTAAAAAAAAGTGTGATCTGTCTAAAATAATTTTTTATGCTCACATGTGCTTCCGTTTCCTTATAATGAAAACCACTAATAAACGTATCTCCTCCCTAGCCTTGGTTTTCTGAGGGAGATGAAATTACCTATACCTATATCATCTACTGCTAGACTCCGATCTCTAAGCATTTAAAAGAGCCCATATTGTACTCCTCAGTGTTGGACTACTTCCCCATGCTTCCTCTGAAGAAAGAGAACACACACATGTGGTGATTGCTTGTGTGTGCTCTAACAAATAAAGCTTGCCTGAAGATCAGAGTGTGGAGCTAGCCACACTAATTAGCCACAGAGGCAAGACAGTGGTGGCTCACACCTTGAATTGCAGTGCTCGGGAGAGGCAAGCAGATTTCTGTGAGTTCAAGGCCATCTGGGCTATAAGAGATTGAATCCATCCAAGAGAAACAGAGTCAAACAGTGGTGGCTCACATCTTAAATCCCAGCACTAGGGCTGTTGAGACAGGAGTAATATGGCTGGGTGGAGAAAGGAATATAAAGCGGGAGGAGACAGGAGCTTGCAGCATTCAGTCTGAGGATTTGTAGGGACAGGAAGGATCACCCCTTTGGTCTGAGGATTCAATAGAGGTAAGAACTAGCGCTTGACTGCTCTGCTTCTCTGATCTTTCAGCATTTAACTCCAAAATCTGATTCCGGGTTTTTATTATTAAAACCAATTAGAATTCGTGCTACACATACACTTAGCTTGTGAATGCCTGTAATCCCAGGACCTGTACAGGCAGAACATGAATTCAAGGTCAGCCTAGACTACATAGTAAGACCCTATCTCAAAATATAATTGAGGGGGGGGGGTGCGCAAAGGGAATGGACAGTTCAGTGGTAGTGTTTGCCCAGGATACATTAAGACTCTGGGTTCAATACTATCCATTTTACACATGTTTAATTTAGTTGTAAATCTCAACCAAATTGGGGCTTCTAGGTGATCTAAATAATTGTAAAATTTCATCCGTCTTGGGCTGAGGGATGTGACTCAGTGGCAAGAGTTCTTGCCTAACATGTATTATGAGACCATTGGGTTTGAGCCCCAGTTCGCCTGTGCTCTCTCTCTCTTTCTCACACACAAACACAACTTATATTTCTTGAAGAAAGTTTTTTGAAAAAACAAAAAACATGTCAAAATAGCCAGTAAAAGACCTATTTACTACTTACCCTAAAAGTAAGTTCTGACTTCCTAACTAACTGACTACTTTGCTTTATTGAGATAGGGTCTCACTATATGGTTATATGGTGAAGGGTGGCCTCTAATTGTCAACCCTCCTTATACAGGGCAAATTATTAGCTCTATTTTAAAATCAGAGCCAAAACTCACCACCATCCTGTGGTATCTATATTCCTAGAATTTGATTTATTTAAGTTTTTTTTTTTGCATTTTATTTATTTGGTTTTTCAAGACAGGGTTTCTCTGTAGCTTCGGGACCTGTCCTGGAACTAGCTCTGTAGACCAGGCTGGCCTCAAACTCACAGAGATCCACCTGCCTCTGCTTCCTAGGTGCTGGGATTAAAGGCATATGCCACCACCACCCGGCCTAGAACTTGAAAGATAAAAGAAAGGAGAATCAGGAGTTCAAGATTATCCTCTGCTACCTGATAAGTTCAAAGCCAGCCTGGTCTATTTAAGACCTCATCAAACAAAAAGCCACTTATATTCAGAAATGACAATAAGTACAAACTCACTTATGGAAAGAAAAACTTCAATTGCAACAGCTAGAAGAGTTTAAATGTCAAAAATACAAATGTATCTCAAGATTGATAAAATTTTATACACACAAAGTATCAAAGCACTCAAATCACCCAGTTAAAGGCAACTTATGTATTTCAGACTTTTTTTTTTTTCCTTTTTGAGACAGGGTTTCTCTGTGTAGCCCTGGCTGTCCTGGAACTCACTTTGTAGAACAGGCTGGCCTCAAACTAAGATATTCATCTGCCTCTGCCTCCCAAATGCTATAATTAAAGGCGTGTGGAAGTGTTCCAGACATGTTTTCAAGAAAGCTGTAGTGTAGTTTTCAAGCTCTTAGAACACCATTTTAAGAATACTTCTAAACAAATGGTCTTTTTCTTACTATGCAAACCAGAGCTACTCGATCCAGATGAAGTTTGTCATAAGAATGATCCAGAAAAGACTTTCAGGGCTGGATGCTTAACATAGCAAGGGAGCACTTGCCTAACAAATGACAGAGGCCCTGAGGTTCTGTCCACACCCAACACTGGGGGGAAGGGGCACAAAAAAAAATGGGGGAAATGAAGCAACACCCAAACTAGTAATCATTAATGCAAGTAAATTTCTTTCTTTCTTTTTTTTTTTTTTTGGTTTCTCAGTAGCTATGGAGCCAGCCCTGGAACTCACTCTGTAGAACAGGCTGAGATCTGCCTGCCTCTGCTTCCCAGTGCTAGGTTTAAAGGTATGTGCACCACCGCATGGCGTAAATTTCACTTTTTAAACTTTTTCATTCTATATATATATATATATATATATATATGTTAATGCCACATGTACGCAGGTGCCCAAAGAGGTTTGAAGAAGGGCTTTGAATATTCTGGAGCAGTGATTACAGGCAGCTCTGAGCTGCCTGATGCGGGAGCTGGGATCTGGACTCTGAAGAGCACCAAGCACTCTTAATTCTATTGAGCAATCAATCTTCCAGACCCTGTGAATTTAACTTTGAAGCACACTGCATTTTTATATCATCATTATTTTGGTTTTTAGTTTTGAGATGGGTTCTAATTACTTAGCCCAAATGAGCCTAGGTAGGCCAGGCTGGCCTTGAACTCAAAGAGATCCACCTGTCAAGGTGCGTGCTGTCACCACCACACCCACCTGGTTTTGGATTTTTTTTTTTTGAGGTAGGTTCCTGCTATATAGCCCATGTTTGACTCAAACTTGTTAACTGTACCCCAGGCTGGCCTCAATCTGCTAACTATAGTCCTGGATGGCCACAAAAATCACAAACTGAGTGCCAAGATTGCAGGTGTGCACAACCACAGTAGGATCTAATTCTAATTTTTCTAAGATTTATTTTATTTTTTTAAATTACGTGTGTGTGCTCTAAGTGAGTACTCAGAACTCCGAAAAGGGTATCAGCTGAACCTGTAGTTTCAGGTACTGGGGAATAGCCTGACACAGGTTCTGGGAACTAAACTGGAGTCCTCTGCGAGATCAGTGCAAGTTCTTAAATCACTGAGCCAGCTCCCCAGCCCCTAAACATGCTTAGATAACACAGTCCTTTAAAATTATTTCCAGCCGGGCGGTGGTGGCACACGCCTTTAATCCCAGCACTCAGGAGGCAGAGGCAGGCGGATCTCTGTGAGTTCGAGACCAGCCTGGTCTACAAGAGCTAGTTCCAGGACAGGCTCCAAAACCACAGAGAAACCCTGTCTTGAAAAAAACCAAAAAAAAAATTATTTCCAGAGAAAAACCTTAATAATCTGGTATTCAAAGAAGGAATGTTGAGATAGCAGCTTCTTTTCTGACAGTTACTCTTAGTACTTGTTTCTATAATTTACATCTACTGAGTGTGTCAGGACTCTAACGACCATTGTAGCTATTATATTACGAATTCTAATGTGCATTGGAACCCTCTCCTTTTTAAAGAAATGCAAGGAAAAGTTTCAAAAGTCACCAATGAGTCAATAACAAAGTTGGAAGTCAACACTAAAACTTCAGCTCCTACACTATAAACCGCAAATTTTCCAATCACAAAAGAGAGAAGAGTCAACCAACTATTTGCAAAAATCACCCAACACCGTAGTACACTGACTAAGCCCAAATCAAAGATTCACCCTGGACTAAAGAAACAACACGCAACATTTGCATACCATTATATCCTTCCTTGTTCTCATAACCATACAAAATAACATAAAAGAAAAAAACCTCTGGATATATTAATCCTTGGTAATGTGTACTCTTAGATATGAACAATTTATTTTCCCACTAACTGAGCATTTATAAGTTAATCTTTCATCACCTTGTCACATTCCATCCGAGGTGCTATGGGGTACATTCATTCCTCACTCAACAGCCAAAAGTTAAAAACAAGCAACTCTCAGAACATAGTTACATTGCCAATGACAGAAAGAAAAGCGTCAATAAATTGCTGCTTTTAACGAGACATTTTAAAACACGATGACATGCTTCCCAGAATTACTGTTAAGTTCTTGGCCGGTTACTTAAAAGTAGCATTTAAGGCACATCCCTCCCTGTTTGGGGCATAGCCTGACTCGTCAGACAAGATAAATCTAGGCACGCTCACACAGAACACCTCTGAAGCAACTTAGCCTATTGAAAACATCATTGCCACCTCCCATGTGCGAGTACTCAAGCCCTGCCATAATACAAGGGACAGAATGACCCTCTTCAAAAATCTTTCGGGAGAAGGTTCCCTCGGCGAAGACAATGACAGCAGTCCTCCCGGGAAGGACTTTAGAAACAGTGTTGACACCGGGAGGAGAGGCTCCGAGGAAGTGTCAGTGCGGCAGCAGGTGGAGTAGCCCTGCGTGCCGAGCAGGTCCTTTCTGACCTAGTCTCCAAGTCCTCCGCCTCCCTGTCCCGGTTCCGCCTTACGGACCTTTCCGAGCCGCCTCGCGCCCCGGTCCTCTCACTCAGTGTAGGACTCTCGAGCCTCCAGGGAAGCGAGGCCACCTAAGACGGCCGCCGCACCTCTTCCGGGGACTCAGGCCCGCTCCCCGGCAGTGTCGGAACCTGACGGACCCTACCGTTCCCAGGGTCTCTCCGGCCCCAATTCCAGAGCCCCTTCCCCTTCGAGGCACCGCTGCCGCCACCCGCCTCACTCCGGAGTACCCCGGCGGAGTTACCGGCCCACTCAAAAGTACCAGCGCTGGCCGCCCCCACCGGTCACCCCGGCCTCGCTGTCACCGCCCAGCTCCCGGCTTCGGCCCGCACCGCTGGCGTGCCCCCGGTGACGCTCGGGTCGGTACCTTGCGGACCCCCTTGTAGATATAGAAGTAGAGCTCCCGGCCCACATTGAAGCAGAGGCGGTCGCCGTTGCCAGACTGGTCGTTGAGGTTTACGAAGGAGACGCGGACAGGGTTGGATCCCTGCGAGTTGAAGGGCACCCGGTTGGGCCGGCTGTACTCCGAGTGCGGCAGCAGCTTGTACAGACCTTCCCGGGTGGTGAATTGGGTCTTAATCTCGTTCATCTCCTTCCCTCCTCCCTCCGTCGCCATCTTGGAAAGCAGCGTTCATCCTGCCCTAAGTGCCCGGATCACGCCCACCGCGCAGGCGCCGTCCTCGGCCGCTCATTCTCCACTCCCCACCCCCTTCCTCGTGGCCCCGCCCATTCGCGAGCCCGCCCCTCGAAGGCGGGCCAAGGCGAAGGGGGAGGGCTGATTTACGGTCCCACTGCGCACGCGTGCTCACCTGGGGCGCCGCCCTCTCGGTGCCTGTGGGAGCGAGCGCGCAGTGCTCAAGTTAAGCATTGCTAAGGTGAGTTGAGTCTGTGGGTGCTCTGACCTTCGCTGAGTGGACCCTCACCCGGAGAAACCGAGGGAGGACGCCGCCTTCACCTCGGCCGGCTGGTTGTCCCGCGGACCGTGAGAGAGACGGGTGGGGAAGTCCGGTGTTTGGACCTGTGCATCCCAGCTGTGCTCGCCCTCCCGCGTGAGCTGGGATGGGTGCCGGGTCCCGAGCCCCTCTTCGCCTCCCCGACGCAGTTTCGCAGTAGAGAAGGACGGGATTTTATTACACCCCACGGTTTTGTTTCCGCTTGTTTGAAAGCGGAGTTGAAAGAAGAGAATAAATGTACAGGACTTGTGTTTTCAAATCTCACCTGAAACCTGACCGGTGAGCACTGACTGGTTCTTGAAAAAGTTGGTCGTGTTAGCACTTGTGTCTCCTGTGCTAACATCGGCACTCCGTCACTTCTAGAGGAAGGGGCGAGGGTCACAGCCCCTAGCTGCGGGACCTCGACATTGAATCTGTGCATGATATTCTTGTCTAGTACTTAATACCGCGTAATAAAGGTAAAACTAATTAATTTTTTGTTTTTTGTTTTTGTTTTTCGAGACAGTTTCTCTCTAGTTTTGGAGCCTGTCCTGGAACTAGTTCTTGTAGACCAGGCTGGCCTCGAACTCACAGCGATCCACCTGCCTCTGCCTCCCGAGTGCTAGGATTAAAGTCGTGCACCACCACCGCCCAGCTAAAGCTAATGAATTTTTTAAAGCCTCAAGTGGAACTTAAAGTTGTTTGCTAGGAGAACCATAAAGTTACATGAATATTCCGTTCAAAGTTTAAATACTAAGGACAAGCTCACACATTAAAGTTGCATTAAACAAGTACCATTTGATATATCGATTTCTGGGTATGTGCACTGGAATATGAATGCTTCTAAAGTAATAAACATTATAACAGAATTCTAGAATGGAAAAAAATTATTCCATGAAGAATGGAGTACTCCTGAAAAGTCATGTCTGTAAAGTGAAAATCAGTGAAGCAAACCATGGTACTTGCAGGTGCAGGAAGAAGAATAGCCTGAGCCCAGATGTTGGAGGCTAGCCTTGCCCACGGAGCAAGACTCCAACTAACAAAAATTCATCGTAAAAAAGTGGGAAGCAGCCAGGCAGTGGCGGCGCACACCTTTAATCCCAGCACTCAGGAGGCAGAAGCAGGGGGATCTCTGTGAGTTGGAGGCCAGCCTGGTCTCCAAGAGCTAGTTCTAGGACAGGCTCCAAAACTACAGAGAAACCTTGTCTCAAAACCGCTCCTCCAAAAAAGTTCTAAAATTTGAATCATAAACATTTTGTGTAGTAGAAAGCAAGAACATAAACGATAGAAACTGTGCCAGTGCTGAAGAAATGCATGACACTAACACCTCGTAGCGCTCATACATGCTGACAAAAATAGCACTACAATAAAATCCTTTTAGTTCGGTAATTAATTAGTTAATTTTTCTTTTGGGAGACTGTATCTCTCTCTCCTCTCTCGTTTTTTTGTTTTTTGAGACAGGGTTTCTCTGTAGCTTTGAAGCCAGTCTGGAACTAGCTCTTGGAGACCAGACTGGCCTTGAACTCACAGAGATCCGTCTGCCTCTGCCTCCCAAATGCTGCCCAGGCTGGCCTCGAACTCACAGAGATCCACCTGCCTCTGCTTCCCAAGTGCTGGGATTAAAAGCATGTGCCATCACCACCTGGCCTGAAACTATCTCTCTAAATATCCCTAGCTGTCCTGAAACTCCATAGGAAATTCTTCCTGCTGGGTTTTGAGTGCTGGGATTAAAGATGTGATCGTCACACCCAGTTTAAAATACTTAATGTGTGGTTGGAGAGATGGCTCAGAGGTTAAGAGCACTGGCTATTCTCCCAGTGGTCCTGAGTTCAATTCCTAGCACCCACATGGTGGCTCACATTTATCTGTAATGAGATCTGGTGCCCCCCTCTGACATGCAGGTAGAGCACTGTATGCATAGTAAATAAGTTTTTTAGAAAATCCTTAATACATTTTTAGAATACACATTAAATTTCATTTTGTTGTTATTTGTCTTTTTCTAAAATACAAATATGGATCAGAATTCTTAAAAATACTAGGGTATGTTCAGTGAGCAATCCCAATCTCCCATAGTTATGTTATTTTGAACCAAAAACAGATGTTTATAATGGACATCTTGAGGGATAAATAACAGCCTCAATTATCTGAAAAGTATTCGGTTGGGTTTTCTAGTTAATAGCAGAAAATATACTTTGGGAGGGAAACCCTCAATAAGCAGAAACTGAAAAAAAATTTGTTTACCTTCAACCATAATATTCAGTTGCCAATATCCCACTGGCATGATGTTAATGCCTTAATCTCAGCACTTAGGAGAGAGGGGCAATAGATGCCAAGGCCAGCCTAGTCTACACAAAGACTCCCAGACCACTCAGGGCCACATAGCAAAACTCTTTTTTTTTTTTTAAGATTTATTTATTTATTATTCTGCCTCCATGTATGCCTGCACGCCAGAAGAGGGCTCTTATCCTCTGAGCCATCTCTCCAATCCCAAAACTCTAAGAGCATTGACTGCTCTTCCAGAGGTTCTGAGTTCAATTCTCAGTAACCACACAGTGGCTCACAACCATCTGTACTGAGATCTGGTGCCTGGTGCCCTCTCTAGTCTGTAGGCATAATGCAGACAGACCACTGTATACATAGTGAGTAAGTAGATAAATAAGAGAGATACAAAGAGAAACAGGTTAATTTAAAAGAGCTAACTAGGCTGAGCATTCAAAACTAATAAAACAATAAGTCTCCATGTCATGATTTGGGACATAGTTGGTGGCAAGAAAGAAAGAAAGAAAGAAAGAAAGAAAGAAAGAAAATTAAGACAACCAGCATGTCTTAATGCTTATATTAAGGCTTTATTCTGTCTTTTTTTTTTTTTTTCCAGACGTGGTAGCATACTCCTGGAATGCCTGTCGTTTCCAGAGACTGAGAGAGGAGGGTGGAGAACTCAAAGCCAATCAAGCACAGTGGCACATACCTGAAATATCAGTACTTAGGAAGGGGGCGCAGGAGGATCAGTAGTTCAAGGACATTGTCAGTAACACAGTCCAGTTGAGAAACCAGCCTGGGCTACTTTAGACTCCTCTAAAGGAAATAATTCCAGCACTTGGGAGGCAAAGGCAGGTGGATCTCTGAGTTCGAGGCCTTCCTGATCTACAAATCAAATTCCAAGACACCCAAAGCTGTTATATAGAGAAAACTTGTATCTAAAAAACGAAAAGGAAAAAAGAAGGTATGAAAAGCCAGTACTTCAGTCTGACATGTTGTCCAGTTTACCCACCAAGTCAAGGGCCAATGTGTAGGACACTCTGTGCTTGTCTGCTCCCCATTGTAATTCCACTTTCTGTGTAGACAGGTTAACTCTGGGCAGACAGCTCAACCTCAGTTGCACGTGTTCTCACCCACAGCAGGGGCAGAGCAGAAGGTATGCCATTCGGTGGCATAAAGGGAAAGAAGGCCATGTCAGGATTGTCCCCATGTTTGCTCCATCCTTAGACGGCTCAGCTTGCCTGGCTTCTTACTCACAGTCGGAGCCATGCAGCTGATCTTCCCAAATCTGTTATTGGCTCTCGTGTCTGTCCAGGCACAGGATAGTACGTGATCTTCCTGAGGAGTCTGACTGAGGATGACAAAGAACTTCACCCAAGTCCAGCTTGGGAACCAGTGAGTTTAACTGTGATCACTTTTAGGAGCAGAGGTGAAAGATAACTTACAAGAACATAAACAAGGGCATCCATGCCACAATGGAACAGTGTCCTCTCTATAAGCAATTATTAATTATAGCAATCCTACAGACAGGGATGTGCACCCTCCCCGCCTTCCAAAATAGCACTGTCAGTGGCCCCAATCTTGTGAGATTCCTGTGCGAGTGACTGCAGCTGCTGTGGCTCAAGACGGAGATGATTCTGTGATGCCAGTGCTTTCTGGTGAGGATGGGGCACATAGAAAGGCCAGTGAGGCCCTGGATCGTAAACCCACCACTGCGCTGCTTCGGCTGTGAGGTGAGCACCTTAGAAAGAGTGCTGTGTGGAGTGTCATTACAGTGGATAAGTAGTTCATAAGTCCATGGTATTTTTGACAGAGTGCTGCTGCTTCCAAGGTGGAAATGGTACAGTGTAATCAACTGCTACCTGAGGGAATGATGCTGTCTTAGGCTCAGGGTTTGGCCTCTGCTGCTGGCAGATTGCTCAGCGCCAGTCACAACCAGGTTCCCCCTTCCTGAGTAGAACTCTTACTTCTCTGTTACCATGACCAAGACACCTTAAAAGAGAAAACCTTTAATTTGAGGTTTAAAGTTGCAAAGGGTTATAGTCTATGACAGTCATGTCAGGGAGCATGGCAGAAGGCAGGCATGGCACTGTAGCAGTGGCTGAGAACCTATATCCTTGACCGTAAGTAGGAGGCAGAGAGCACTAACTGGAAAGTGTGGGCTTTTGAAACCTCAAAGCCCACACCCAGTGATACACCTGCTCCATCAAGGCCACACCTCTTAATCCTTCCCAAACAGTTCCACCAACTGAGAAACAAGCATTCAAATATATTAACCTGTGGAGACCATTTTCATTCAAACGCACATTGTACATTTTTCTAAGCCCTTGAAGAAATTTCATTCCTGCCATCATGATCATCTTGTTCATGAGCTCATTAGGCAATGACAGGGATAACTGGGGAAAATAATTGACTGCTATCCACAGAATAGGTCATCTTATCTACTTGATTACAGGCTGTTTCTGATGAGATCACTTT